CGTCATCAGCATGATGCGCAACATGGGCGACTTCCATTTTATTGGTATAGTCGTCGACCGATATATTCAGGTCCGTCACTTCGTCAAAGTGGAAATCCTCTGCGGGTTGGTGTAAAGCTGTGCGGTCGAAGTGATTAAACTCGACATCGTTCACACGTATATGGGGGTGTTTATTACCCCTTGTAAAGTTCATGGTAGAGGCCTTTCGGTGCTTACTTCCACGGATAGCGGTTGGTAATATAACCTTGGGTGATCCATGCGTCGGAATAACATACCCAGTCTTAACTGGTTTCCGACGATTATCTTCCCAATTTGGTACAAGTGGCGGAGTATATCTCCTTACCTCTGGGTCTATAATACCCTCGAGGACGGGTGTCAGAACAGGCGAGTAATTTGCCTGAACTTCTGGAGGTAGTGCCTCATAAGGTATAGAGACGCTGAGCACGTCTGGATCATATGCCTCAGGCGTAGAGCTTGAGTCTTTGGGCGTAATTGCCTGTCGACGTTCTGTCCACTTCTGTAGGGCTTCAGTTATGCCCAGGGAAACATGTTTGCATAAGTTCTGTGGATGTTTTCCTGATCTAATTAATTGATCTACATGTTCGACAGTCAAGTCTTTCAAAATAGTCGCTAACTGATTCTTAAGATCAGCGTTTTCAGTAATTTACTTACTTATGTGCGTTGGCTTAGTAGTCTCGGACGTAGATTCGGGTTTGTTACTTGAGCTTGCCTCCTCTTCTGGTTCCATAATAGGTTCCTTCTGAGATTTGTCCTTGTCCCCTATAATTGGGGACGCCCCTATAATTGGGGACTTTCCTTTCTGAGTTTCGTCAGAAGAAATGGTTGGGGCGTCTTGAGACGTGTCCCTTGTATCACTTCTTGGCTTCGTAAATGAAAGCTTTGAAGTTGAGGCAATAGTTGGCCCTCGGACTCTGTCAGTGGGAGTAGTCTCCTTAAACGGAGTGGCTACATCCTTATCTGAAGCATTGTCCTTTTGACTATTATTGTCAGAGGCAAGTACTTCGGCTACAGTGCGGTTAAACGCATCAGCAGCGGCGGCGGTTGCTTCTGAGCAGTAATAGCTGCGGTAGCGCTAGCTGCTTCTTTCTCCATCTCCTTCTTTTCAGCTCTACGCTTCTTAGAAGAAGTGTTGTCTTTCTTGGTCATAATTTTAACTTATGACTACTAGCTTGTCTCTTAACGACCAGCTTGGACAAGAGAAAAAAAATAGAAGTTGTGGTAGTTAATCTACCTTTACGCTTAAGTAGTCTAAGTACTTAATACTTTTGCTAACTTTAAAATGTGTAATATTCGGTCTAATAAAGGCGATACTAATGCCTTAGAATAAATAAATGCGTAGGTAAATTCTAGTATCGTGTAAATATCGATATAAATAAACGAAATGAGACGTTTAATAAGGTTAGGTTTGCATCGTGAAAACAGCAATACTCTGAGGGATTGTGAGGCTGAGACATTGCCTATATATAATCCTCTCAGTACTGTTTCCGCCGAAGGGACTTTATTTAGTGTTTCGTTGTCGCTCTATTCTGGGGCGAATCCGAGAGACTCATAAAATCTTATCGTTAGAAGAAGAAAAAAATTGAAAATACTCTTGACGTCCTTAGTTATTGTCTAAACCAATAACTTGCCACTATCAAGAATTACCGACTTAGCCTTCATCAGACTGGCACATCTGGTTGGCTTATCGGAGGATCAACTAGGTAACGTTAATAGTCCCTAGAAACATATATTTGGTTGAGCCATCTTGCTACCAAAATATTCAGATATAAATAAAATTGGAAAGTAAAATAGAGTTCTATTAATAGAACTAGACCAACTCTTTATATTTGGTATTTTACTGAGGCCTTTTAATGGCCTCATCCAAATATCTGATATGATAAATGGAAAAGGTATTAATTAATAAAACCATTAAAAACTATTTTAGGAAACTTAAGTTCCTCGTGCTATTAAGAGCACATTTAGGAAACTTGAGTTCCTCGTACTATTAAGAGTATGTTTAGGAAACTTGAGTTCCTCGTACTATTAAGAGTACGTTTAGGAATTTGCGTACTGCTTAAGAGTACGTTTATAACATAGAGTCTAATGTGGAGGCCCGGCTTATTACAACTGCGGGCTATATACAATTAGCACCAACAGACGCAAGAATACAACGCACGGGGTCAACCCAAGTTTGTGACATTAATTACGGAGGTATGAAAGCCTCTCAGTGCTTTGATGTATTGGATCTACCAGACAAGAAGGCACCAATACTTCTCGGCATGGACATTCTACCATACCTAGGTATATACATGGCAGGATTAATCAATCTACTTATACCAACAGATGAGAAATGAGAATCACTCTTCACGCCACATGAAGAAGACCCTAAGCACGAACAAGAAGGATTCAGAGAGTCGCTTACATACCTCTTAGATACCAATGCGTATATACCCACTGACGTACATTGCAACCTATCAGGCTCCACAGTCACAGTACCTGCAGATAAAATTATTAGCAGACAAATGAGGCATACTAAAGTCAACATTGTACCTCACAAAGACATTCCGCAAACGAATGAAAATGTATGGAAGTGGCTTGCAGGTGGACACATTTACAAACGAACTACACCTACCGCAGTAAATCGATCGTTGTTATCAACAGGTGAACATGACCAAACAGGTTTCCTCAAGAAAGTAAAAACATGTCTAGACTTACGCGAAATCAATTGCCGATAAGAACAAGATAATTTTGTGTTACCTGAAATAAAGTAAATACTACACAATTTACAAGGAGCACAATTCTTTTCAAAGCTGGATCTCACAGGAGGATCTCACCCCTTTCTAGTAGACGAAGCAAGCCAACACTTCTTCACGTTCTCGTCGAGAAGAGCGCAGTACTCATTCAAGTCAGCACCGTTAGGACTACACTTACTCACAACACAGTGCCAGAGAGTCATGGCAAATTTGCTCATAGACATCAAAAGAGTGTAGGTGTATGTAGATGACATAGTCATTGCGAGTGTAACTAAAGAAGAACACCGCAAGACAGTTCGTGATGTAATCAAACGGCTGAATGGAGCAAACTTTCGACACAATCACAAGTGTGCCTTCGCGGTGAAAATGGTCAACATTCTAGGTTTGAAAGTCACCACTCAGGGACTCAAAGCAGATCCTGAAAAACAGAAAAGGATGATGGACTGGCCAGTACCCAGAACAAAAAGAGATCTGCACAAAGCGATGTGACTGGCAAATGTGCGCGACCATGTCCCCAACTTTGCCCATACAACAAAAACACTTCCGAAACCTAATGAAAGGAAAAATGGACCAGCACATATCTGTGTTGTGGACTCCGGAACTCAAAAAAAAAAAGTGGTAAGAACTCGAAGAAGCTATCGCATGTTCAGCGACACTAGCATACCCTGTTGATGGGGTACCGTTTCAAATAATGAACGCTAGTGACCTTGGCATGGGAGAATATTTAAATCAAGTCATCGATGGGGTTAGAAGAGACATTCTCTACTTCTCCAAAGGCTTGAATCCAGCACAATAACGCTATGGCACAAATACCAAGGAGCTACTAGCCCTAGTATACAGCCTGCAACATTTCTCCGAATACATCAAAGGAGGGGACATATCACTGTGAACAGATCACAAAGCGCTCACGCAAATGAGCAGTCAACAGATGTTACACCCAATGCTAGCCAAATGGATAGCAAAAACATTCCTCCATCACTTCTCCATCATACACGTTCCAGGCAAGAACAACCAGATGGCAAATATGTTGTCGCGTCTACACGAAGATAATTTTGATACTAAAACCTCGACGATATTAAAGGAAACGAACGAAACAACACATAACAGCCAAGAGTACATAACCTTGGAAACTAAAATGCCCATAACCATATCAGCTATAGACTGGATGCTACACCCCAGATTCTACCAAGAAGATGAACGACAGTTTGGGAAATTCGCAGTAGATCTGTTTGCATCGACACACAATGCACACACAGATAAATACTACAAAAAAGAACAGAATGCGCTACAACAAAAGTGGACGCAGGAAGTTAATGCATGGGCAAATCCACCATGGGAACTCACACCTGATGTCCGGGACAGAGTCATTGAAGACGCAACCAGCATCACGATATGTGTACCATACTACCCCAACGCAACGTGGCTTCCCAAAAATGAAATTCGTCTTTACTAGAAGAAGACCCGATGCTAGTGGAAATCACAAACAATACTTTCCTCGGCGAAGGCAAGAAAGCTTGTGGCAAGGCCCCATGGGGTGTCAACTTAGAAGCAAAGATAGGAGAAGACTCAACGCGGGAACAACCTGCCATACACGTTGCAGCATCACAACCAGTTCACTCTGGAGATGCACCGCAGACAACAGAATACGAGACACGTGTCAACATCATCGAGCAATACAACAACTTGGGACATTACACTCCTGAGGAAACGGTAAACAAGTTGCAAACAGATGGACATGATTGGCCTGAAATCCAACACCATGTACACAAGTTCATTGAAGGATACATACCATGTCTCAAAGATACGATACACAAAAAGGGATTCCATCCCTTACAATCAATCACATCCGCATTTCCAGGCGACAGAGTCCAAGTGAACACCATATGACCACTATTGAATTCCAGCAGAGGACTCACATGTGTTAGTATGGCTAGATGTACACTCATCATATGTCATATTACGTCCAATGATGGACAAATCAACGGCTACTATAGCACACACGCTGGTACCAATCATGTGTGAACATGGATTCCTACAAATCATACAGACTGACCAAGGCACTGAATATGTTAACAACATACTTCAAAAGATGTTGAACAAGCGCCAACACAACACCTAGTCTCTTGGCCGTACCAACCTAAAGTCCTAGGCGCGAATGAGCGATCACACAGAGACCTCATGCCACTGTTACGGAAATTCGTTGAGCAAAATCCAGGTAACTGGTGTTCACGACTTCCCTTCGTATAGATGGGCCATAATCTGCGTGCATCAAGAAGGCACAAGTCACTACGATTTAATGTGTACTTTGGTCGCAGACCGAATCAACTCACGGACTACAACGAGCCAGTGACCGCACCCAGTACAACAGTATCTTGGGAAAAGCCACTGCATAATCTAGAAGAAGCCGTCAGGCCACAACTAGATAGTATTGCTGCGCAATATCAAGAGAAGATGTGCGCATCATTCGACCGGCAGTACCAAAAGAAGTATGTACACTTCCAGGAAGGGAAAATTGTTGATGGTCCGCTATCTAGATGAAATGAACAAGTTGACTGCAACTAGTGGCGGACCATACAAAATAGTTTGCAGGGAGAGCAATGGGTATTTGACTGTAACCTTGGTGGGACTAAAGCCCCCCGAAAATTCTGACTCGGTCAGTGATGAGCTACTTGGACTTGTGAAAAGAGCCAGTACTACGGAAGCATTCACTTCCAATAATCACGTACAACCAAACGAGGAAACTCAACTATCCTCGATACTCGACGACAGGCCGTCCACCCGAGGAGGTGGAACCCAGGAAACCTACTGCAATGAACAGATGGGGAGTTACAACATAACGTCAACGCCATCGACGCAAACGAAAGCAGTCAAGGCCAAAGAAGCCTAAAATGAGCACTGATGAAAGTCCAGCGAGCAATAGAAAGCGCACGAAGCGGGGGACCTATGCAAGTCTCACTGATACCACGGGACACTCCAATTTTTCTCGCCTTGAAGCATGCTCCCCCCACACACCAGAAGGACAAGGACCAAATACTCTGGCTGTAGAGCCACCGTTGAGATGCGTACCGGTCAAGACTGACTCCGATGAGCGTGGTAGAGAACTCTCGTCGTAGTATAAATATAGAAATATTGATAGGTAGTATGTAAGAATAGATAATGGTGGCAGGTTTTTCATGTTATGCCCCCTATGGGACAAGTTTTTCCCTTTATACAAACACCAACCTCTAGATAATCTAGTACTGTAAGATGTCACTTTCTTCTCCTACGCAGGCTAAGAAGCATAAAATTGGGGGGCTGTAGCATCTAGGGACCAGAATATCAAAAGCCAATCCAAATCCCAGATCCCAGATTCATCAAATGTTGAGTTTTGGAATTAAGATTGAAATATTTCTGATATTAAAGTCATCATAAATATTAGCGGTAGAACCGGTAAGCTAAACCGGGACCCCGCGTGTGAGAGAAACACTCAAGTAAAGTCCTAAGTCCGGGGGATTAGAAAACACAAATAAAAACTCATTTCGGTTCTCTCAGACTAAGGACTTTTCCAAGCTGAGATAATCGTACCTGTGAAGAGGTCTACTCTATAATATAGACACCGAAGCAGGGAAGAAGACTCCCGAGGAGCTTCCAGACTGGGGGGATGCCCTACTTCAATAGCCGAAGCCTACGGGACGAATAATTATCACCCGAGGCAATCCCACGCTTATTATACCGATCATAATCAATAGTGATGAACGTCGCGAGCCATCGACGATGGATTCGGTGCTAACTGAAGGAGATCGCGTCAATCGAACTGTGCTGTTCCAACCTGCAGAAGATTTCAATCTTCTGAGTTGAAGTCGACGATTACACAACTCTGTTGGAGATCACTCATGATCTCTAGATGAAAGATGACGTAATTTTCTACACCAAGATGATCACCATTGAACACAAGCGTATCGATCAACTGCTACAGGCACAACGCGGTCAAGACTGACCACAGTGACGACCAGAAGTACCAAGGGATGATCAGTCGATTGAAGTCGAACTGGGACTCCAGTAATCAAAAACCCGAGTTCGTCCATAATCACGATCTCAATTCTTTGACTCGTACCTTGTATACATTTACAGCAATGCTGCAGACGAATGACATCGCTCCACACAGATATCTGCTCTTATGTAGTCTTTCAATCTTGAAGGACCAGTTATCTGATCCTTCGGAAGCACTCAGCCGAACTGGATCACTGCCGTAATTGGCCAGAGGTTTGTTGGCTAGTGATATCCATATTAAGTAAGGACATGCGCAGCCAAGGTCTAAGTTCGATCTTGGCAGCCCAGCGCCAATCTCTACCATATTGAGAGAAGTACAAGGGAATGATCAGTCGACTTAAGTCGAACTGGGACTCCAGAAATTAAAACCCCGAGTTCGTCCATAATCACGATCTCGATTCTTTGACTCGTACCTTGTATGCCTTTATAGTAATGCTGGAGACGAATGACATCGCTCCACACCAGTAGATATCTGCTCTTATACAGTCTTTCAATCCTGAACGACCAGTTATTATGATCCTTCGGAAGCACTTAGCCGAACTGGATCACTGCCGTAATTGGCCAGAGGTTTGTTGGCTAGTGATGTCCATATTAAGTAAGGGCATGCGCAGCCAAGGTCTGAGTTCGATCTTGGCAGCCCCAGCGCCAAGCTTTACCATATTGAGCTACATTTTAAAGCTCGGCGTCAACCTGAAACGCTCTGACATTAATAAGGACGACATGCCGCGATGGTACGAGTTGTTGGCCATGCATAAATTATGTATGAACATTGTCAGCAACGATCGTGAATGGTTGTATAGCGAGCTTCGCCGCAAGTACGCTAACAACGGGATCATGGACACGAGTCAAAGTTTCCGTTGACTCGCTTCACGTGGAATTAGTTTTATCAAACTGTATTGGACCTGTACCCGGCCGATCCAGTAACCTCGAAGGAGAAGGTGGCTACTAAGAAACTACGCGATCAGTCCGACCAAGGATAAGTATCCAGTCAGACCTCCAAAGAGCGAGCTACGACACGCCCACGAGAGACCGTTCATAACACGCGACCTGATAAGAAGGCGCGTGCCGAGAAAGAACCTCCGCACAAGCAAGTGAAGAAGTGTGCGGACGAGAAGTGTGGGTATGACATATACCAACTGACCCCTAACGGTTATTGGAATGACAGACACGCACTCACTCGTAAGCACTACCTCGCTAAATGCGATAAGTTCGAAAAGACAAACGTATATCACGCGAAGTCTTGCGACAAGAAGCCCGACATTGAGTTGGAGTGAAGCTACTACCGGGTACATTCGTTACAAGGAAAATGCAACGACTCTTTAGATGAGCGTGTAAAAATCCATGTATATTGCAATGGAAATAAAGTACGTGCACTGATTGATACTGGTTCAGATATTTCATGTATATCCGATCGCATTGCCTTAATGCAAGATATCGAACGTAGAACGCAAACCACTCATCTTATTTTAGCAGATGAGAAGACTTCAAAGCGTGCATGGCTACAGATGTTAAAATCTCTCTGGCCGATGATAGAAATATCACCACTCAAGCTGAGAGTACGACATTATCATCGGAATGAGCGATTTGCTCACACTAGGTATAACCGTAACTGGTTTACCAAACATGAACGTTGACTCATTAAAAGATCAATCTGACGACAAGTCAAGGCATTTATACCCAACTTTGCAAGTAGAATTATGGATCTTATTTTAGTGAATATTAAAATTATGATTACTGACTGGGCTTTAAAAATCAATCAGACGATAAGTACCAACGTCTGACACAGTCAAGGCATTAATATCCGACTTTGCAAGTAAAATTATGGATCTTATTCTAGTATATAATAAAATTTATATTGCTGACCGGGCTAAGTTCCGTTTTAATGATAGGTACATCAGTTTTGACTTAACCAGGGTTGATTTTATCAAGCTGAAGTGTCCTACGAGAAGCTAAGTATCCTGGAGTCACGAAGCTGTAGTAAAAGAACAAGTTGAGAAGTGGTTAGTAGATGAAGTGGTAGTAATCAACTATCAACAAATAACAGTTAACTTGGCGCTACAATCTGTTGAACAACATAACTCTGATGGTTCGTTCAAGAAAGTCAGAGTGTGATTCGATATGAGTCCAATAAATAAATAACTTATAGATTTCAACTACGAGTACACCACCTTGGAAACAAAAATACTCATCACCATATCAGCTACAGACTGGATGTTATACCCCATATTCTATATATAGGTTGGTAAGTTCACAGTAGATATATTTGCATCGGCATACAATGCACACACACATAAATACTACACGAAAGAATAGAATGCGCTCCTACTAAAGTGAGTGCAGGGAGTATATGTATGGGCAAACCCACCGTGGGAACTCATACATGATGTCCTCGACAAAGTCATTGTGCAGCATCTAGGGACCAGATTATCAAAAAGTCAATCCAAATCCCAAAACCTTAGAATCATTAAATTTTGAGTTTTGGAATTAGGATTTAAATATTTCTGATGTTGGAGTCAGCAGACCGATTTGTGGTAGAACCGGTGAGCTACACCGGGACTCCGCGTGAGAGAGAAACACGTAAAACCCTGAGTCTATTGAATTAGAAAACACAAATAAAGACTCGGTTTGGTTTTCTCAGCCTAGAACTTTTCCTAGCTGAGATAACCGTACTTGAAAAGAGGCCTATTGTATCATTTGGTCGTATCTTTCAGGTATTCTTTATACTCTATTTTATTATTATACAAAATGCTTACTTAGATAATTCAAATAGGAACAGAGCTCACTATAGTAAGAACGATAAGTGAATGAAATGAAGAGGTCACCTAGAATAGTCTACTTTATTTAGCTTTAATCCGAAAAAAGGAAGAAGAAACAGTGAAGGAGTTGGGACTAGACAGTAACCAGGGGGCTAACAAGAAGCTGAGGGACAACAATCAACTGACAGAAGATAAGAGAATGAAGAAGGAAACAAGCAGCAGATAAGTAACTGGCCTACGTTCTCGACTGCCATTGGATAAGAATAAGGCAATTTTTTGAGAAGTTTCAAGAAGTGTCTTACAACCTGTAAAGGCGTAACAACAACAACAAAAACTGTCAAGGCGATATGATTATCTATGTTGGGGCCCATGTGAAGTGTGAAAATTGGTGAATAAGTGTCACAGTGATTTTCGGACATACGCATCCCATAAAATAGTGAGAGAAACCTCAGATCAACTGACACTAGCCTTAGCATTAATTTATCGATAGAATATCAGCACAATAACCTAGCCAAAATAGGTGAGGTTTAGGAACTCGCAAGTAGGACACAGAAGAGGCTAGCAAAACGAATATCTTCAAATTCATCCTAGCACGACATTAAGATAATCAATTGTACAAAGCAACCATTAATCTATCAAGGCACTATAAGGAGGTTAGAAGGTTATCATTCAAAAGAAAATCAATAGAAGGTAAGAGCGTTCATCAATCTCACAGGCACAAGATAACTGGGTGAAGAACAAATGTGAAGGTTAAATCACCTGCAAGAACAATTAACATCCAATTATTGGAACAACTAGCAAAAGGTTGAGACGAATGAAAATTAGAATAGAGTAAGGGAGTGCACGGGAAAAATATTAACACTATTAAGCTCTAGGCAATCAGAACACTTGATCAAATACGAGTCTTCAGAGGAAATCACCTCTGAAGACATTTCACGCCACAATCGTATAGAAAGCAGTGTAAGGACGTAGACTACAAGCGGAAGGGCTGAGCAAGAGTGCCATGAAAGGTAGCCATCAGTGAAAGAGTGTTGAAAAACAACACAGGACATTCACAAAGCCTAGACAACATAGTCAACATAGATAACTCAACCTAAAAAGC